AAGTATGTTAATTCAGTTAATATCACAGAGGGGCTGGCGGGCGGTGGGGGGGAGGTGTGCGCGCAGATTTTCCGCCCGAGGAAGGAGGTGGCAGAGAAAGAACTGGGGCATGCCAGCTCCCGTTATTGTTCTGCCTTCATCGGTAATTAGCAAGATAAGGAGGGGACGGCGTGAGGGAGGCAGCGTGGCGAGGACAAGGCAGCGCTGCACCCCACCTCATGCCCATGCGGCCATCTTACAGGCGGCGCTCGCCTCCCGCAAAATGGCCGCCGGGGCCCACACTGCCTCAGGCCCGCAGCTGGCCCATCCCAGCGGGCTCCCCTCCGCCAGCCCCGAGGCAGTGGGCACCCGGGAGCAGTGGCAGCCAGTAAAGGGGAGCCTCGGGAGAAAAGGAGTTGCCATGGTGGGCCGGAGCGCGCTGGCGAGCGGCCATCTTAGCGCGGGGCGTGCTCGCGGTGCCATGGGCACGCGGCGCTCCCGCAGCTCTCTCCCCAGCCCTCCCGGCTGGAACGCTCTTGGTTCACTTCTCCTTGGCCAGGCGGCACACACTGCCTGGGCCCCGCTCGTGGCCACAGAGGCGGCTGTGCCCTCGCCATAGCTTTACTGTTGGACACGAGCGGGCTTGTCCCCACACAGGCGGATAACCTCCCGCCTCACTGTGTCCCACCAGTTCTGAAAGCCGCCAGGCTCTGGACTGGCCCTGGAAGACACGGCCTGGACAGATAGAGCGTTCCGAGAGCTACAAGGCAAGATGTCACCTGGCCAGCCATCAGAGAGTGAGTTATAGGCAAATTATGCCTTTCCCCTGGCCAAAACAGAATAAATCCCAAACCAAAACTGCAGCAATATCAGTAAAGAAGACATGAGCCTCCTAAACCTTAATTTAACACAAATTTAAAACAAGGTCAGTTATAAAATGCATGGTTACACAGATGACACAGATAAAGCTACAGATACATTTCTCACTTTACAGCGGACACATCAGTGTGGCTCAGTTCTCCAAATGAGCAACACCAAATACCAAACAAGGAACCCCCACCTCTGGTCTTGGGCTGCCCTCAGGACAAGACCAGCAATCATTGACACTAAAGCAGTATTTGGAAAGAATTTCAGGTGCCTTTAGCTATGATGGGACTACTTTGGTGCAATAGGCACACAACGCACATTGAAAATTCGGCTTCTGCTCCAGTACTGTGTGGAGAACCAGAGGGTGATTGCAACCGCATGCAGGCAGGGCCATGTTATACATCTCAGCTAGACAGTGAAACATAAGGGATGGCAGGCTAGCTGCTCCGCTCCAGGGTTGTCTACATGGAAAACCACACCATTATAATGACAGCACTATAGGTCAACTGCTGCTGCTCCTTGCCACGCTGGTGCACATCTTCACTCTTAAACTGGCTTTCTCCAGTTTAGCTTAAACTGCTTCCAGCATGACATCACTGGTATACAGGAGAGTCCTGCCTTCTGCTAAAGTAAATACCCACAGAGGTTGTACGAGTACAGCTCCTTGCTTTAAAATCCGCCCCCCAACCGTACGTCTGCAGCTAGACCTGCCCTTCGGCTAACCTTTCTGTACTCCGCACACTCCTGGGCTGTTCACAGTGCCCGTGAAACACTATTACACCCTGCTTCCCTTGGGTGCTAATCCTGCTTGTCAACCCAAAGGCAGAAGCAGACGGTGGCTTGGCATTTTGATTACGTTGTGATCTGTTTGAACCTTCCAGATTCTTTTGATGTCTGTGCAAATTTGAAAGGGGGAGCCTTCATCCCCCACAATGAAACTCTGCTATAGCATGGTGAACCATCTCGGGACTCCTATGTCCATAGCCATTGCTAGATTTGAAGTGGGGAGGGGAGTTGCAGCTCCTCCAGGAAGAGTCTGAATTTCAGACTAACCAGTTCTGGCCCTGAGCAGAGAACACTACAGGGACAGCGTGTTGCTCTTCAAACAAATGCATGCGTAGGGGAGTGTGCGCATGCACAGAGACACCAGATTTATACAAATAGATGCATTCATAGGAAAATGCAAATAGCATCCTCTTCCATCCCAGGCTCCCTTCGAGCTCCTGACATCCCAAGGTTTCAGAGGAGTACAACGGAGCCTCAGATCAAACATTAGCCCTGCGGGGGTTCCCTCAGGGAAGCAGCCATGCACTGGGGTCTTTTCCCCGCTTCCATGTGAGGTTTCCCGACCCGGCCTTCCGTGGGTGCTCAGTTCTGACACGCGTACGACACGCGTGCGCGCGTGCAGAGCCTTGCTAAAAGGTGCTCTGGGAATTGAGCTCCACTTCCTCTTTCTCCTGACTCAATTGTCATAAACCAGCTTTTGTTTTATTTTTAACAAAGCGACAGAAATAATCACACACAGCCCTTGACACTCCCACGGCCCTGTCCTTTAACAGAACAAGGTATCCAGGGCCCCCGAGGACATGGGCACAGGGAGATAGCAGGGTAGGAAAGACCAGGAGAGGCTGCTTCTGGGTGCACAGAAGTCCCCTGCTCCTCTCTTGAGCCCATTGCTTGGCAGGCAGAGAGGTGGTGCGATGGGAAGGTGACTGGATGGTAGGCAAGGCACTTCCAACCTCTCCAACCCAAACTTCAGCTCTTCCCTTCATCCCCTACCCACTTCCAACCTGCATTTTACCTTGCACTCTGCTCCTCTTGCTCTTCGGTGCCAGCAAGAGATGACTCCTGCAGCACCATTGCAGCAATCAATGGGCTGATGTGCAACCTGTGACAGCCCGAGCTCTGCCTGCCTGTGGCAAACCCCTGTCTCCAGCATGGCCAAGGACTCATCTCTCCTCCTCCTCCTCCCATCCCACATACCCAGGTTCAGGACTCAGACACATATGGAGACATTTCTTGATGAAACCTATCAGTGGGTGAGTGGCAGCTGAGCAGGTACTGAGCAAGACGTGGGGCCAGACAGCAGCCAGGGGGGAAGGCAGCGGGTGGAGGGAACGTGCCTCGGGAGGAATACTCACAAAGGGCTGCTTTCATTAATAAAACATTCCCCCCTCGGTTGCCTTTTGATTTGGGTGTAAGAATTAACCCCATCTGCCCAACAGCACGCTACCTACCAAGTCATCTCTGCTGAGGAAGGCTGTCTGACGTGTCTGCTCAACTGCCTCGCTTCCCGCTGCCTGCACTCCTTGGCAGCCCAGACCCCTCCAAGCAGCTCACCAGCCTCACTGGGTCTGCCCTATGGAAGAGATCTTCTTCCCACAACATAGATTAGACCCAGTGAAAATAGGCTTAGTGAAAATACCATTTCACTATTAATGCCACCCCTCCACAAGATCCACCCCCCCACCCCCCCACCAGCTTCACACTCTCTCACACCCAGAAAGATTATAACAAATCCTGGTCACCTTTTGCCCCTGCTAACTACTGCTCCAGTCTTTGCACTGCATGCCTTCTACCACGAGTAGAGAGCTGGGCACAGGGAGTACTTATATATATACACACACATCTATCTAGTCAGCACTGGAGGTGTGCAGCTGCACAACACACATCTCCCTGCACAGCATCTCGCCTTGTCACAACACCCCAACCCATCCCTCTCTGCTGTAATTGCAGCGCCTGGTCCTTGGGCATCAGCAGAAAGTTGCAGCAAATCCTACATTGGTTAAAGCACAATCTGTCCATTCAAAATTGGTGGGGGGTTGCTTTTAAATCACTGAGACATTTCTATTCCCTTTCTGTTTAAAGTAAAACCGAGATGCAGAGATGCCTTCGAACCGACAGCCCCTTCATTTTTCCAGAGGTGTGTTTTAATGAGTGACTCGCCTTCCAAAAAGGGGCCGGCAAAGGGGAAGGACGGCAGATTCTCCACACAAATTCAATAGCTGGTAGGTTGCCATGGGCTAAAGCATTTCTTTGCACACATGAAGGGAAGGGACTCCAGAGCACTAAGGGTTTTGCCTCCCATGAGTTATAGCTCTACCCTTCAAGAGCGGAATAAATGCTTTATCCCATTGCAGCCTGTGATGTATTCTACATAGATGGATTGATTTCCCCTATTGTTCTTAATAAATCCTGGCGCATGAAGAAACTCACTGCACAGCCATTTTTCCTGCCTTGTTCTAACTTGCAGGAGTGATAAGGGTCAGATGTGACTGCAGTGGGAAGCAAAGGCCGTACATGAGGCAATGCTTTGTGGGATGCACTGGGTATGCTTGCAGGGGCTTGGTGGGTGCAGGAAACCAACTCCCTTTTCCCTGTTTGTTTCCCCTTTGAGTGGAGGTGAGGAAAAGGGGAACTGGCTGGGTACTGCAGCACTGGCGTGGTGATGACAAGAGCAGCTACTGCCAAGCTGAGCCTGCACAACCCTCCCAGATCTGCACAGGGAAAGGCAAGGCTCTGGCCCTCTCTGACTTGAGCTCTCAATTGTGAGAGATAAATACATATATTGTACTCTCTGATAAATGGAGGGCTGAACACTGCACCACTGTAGACCCTCCATCTTGCCCTCTCCATCAGACCTGTCCCTGTCCATGTCCCAGCTGAGAGAAGTCCACACCATTAACACAGGCTCCTCTGGTTTTTCATTTGTTTGGGGTTTTTTTAAGTCAAAATGCCAAACCAACCCACTCTCAATGACTCCCAACAGCACAACTCAGACCCCCAGATTGTTGTTAAAAGGTTCTCTCCCTCCCTACCATCTTTTCTACTCACAAGGTTGACACCCACCCTCTTTTCTGCTACAGGAGGGTGTTTGGTGGACACAGCTTTGCTGGTGTCCAGCAAGGAGGCACTGCTAGGCTCCAAGAAGCAGGTGGCTTTGCACAATCCTGCCTTGGCCACCTGCCTCCAGCTCCATCCAGGCTCCCTGGATTATCACCGCTGGTCTTCTCTAGCAGCAGCTAACAACTGGCCCTGTTTCAAAAGCCTGGCTGGAAATTTGGCTGTGGGAGAGAGGGAGGGATCAGGTAAAAGAGCTGGTCTCCCACGCATGAGTTGAACTCAATCCTTCAGCAAGACTTCCAGGGACTCACCTCTCCTTGCTCAGGTGGAGACGTCCCAGCCCTTCCCAAGGCATCCCACTCCACGAACTCTCAGTCATGTCTGATTAAGGAAAAGAGAATTTGTCTCAATTAGAAAGAGGTTCCCATATGCATGGACGGATGTCAAGCAATTACCACATGTCACTCACGTTCGGAAAAGAGACCTTAAATTTGGGGCCGTGCAAACTTGCACACACAATTGCAAGTGAGTTACAGACCCTGGCATGCTCCAGAGCGTACGTTGTGCGGATGCTTTCAAGCCCGTCCCTCAGCTGAAATACACCCAGCCACGTAAAATACAGCCAGACACGACCCCGTTCTCTAATAAGGAAATAAAGCCGAGTGGACCTGCATTGCCAGACCCCAGACAGCAACACTGTCTCTTTAATTTTCTCCCTGGCTATCTCATCCTTTGCACAAACTCTTTCCTCCCCGTGGCTTCTTCCAGCCTGGTGGGCAAAGTGGGAAAACATCATTAGGGAGGAAAAATAATTTAGTTTGTTAATCAGTATCCAGTGGTGGGAAACAAGAAAGACAGAGAGCTGGGCTGGCGGTTAGGGCTTAGGAAGGGCCAGCACAAAGCCCACCATTCATGACATCTGGGGCTGGGATTCTCATTGAATTAAACAGACACAAAGAGCAGAGGCATTTCATGCTCTCTTCACAAGAATTATCATATCTCCCTGGCACTAGGAAACCTTCAGCATGGGAGAGGGGGAGAGAGAGAGAGAGAGAGAGGGGAAAGCGGGCAGGCTGGGTAGAAATATGGGGCAGGGTAGAAGAGGCTTTGTTCCAGTGTTGGATTTATGGATGGGATGCGGCGCGTTGCTTTGCAGGGAGAGACAGGGCCCTGGCGCACTGGGTCTAATAAGAATCAGCAAATGTGAAACAGGGGGCCCCTGTGTACCATGAAGCAGGGAAACCCACGTTTGACAAGCCAACAGAATAACCGCTCGCGTCTCAAGGCTGTGGAAGGATGCTGACGTTCCTACGAGATGTGTCGTCTTGTGTGTGTGTCAGCGAGGAGGGGGAGAAGGGGAGAGGCGAGGAGTATAAACAAGAGACCAGGCAGCATCGTTCAGTCATGAAAATTAATTAGCTGATGTGCAAACCATGGCTGCCTCTTCCTACTGCCCTGCAAGCATTCCCCATAAAGCTATGGTGTGTGCAGAGCCTGTGACTGGGAATGACAGGGGCAGATTAGGCAGCTCCTTGGGACACAAGCCTGGCAGCAAGAAACCCACAGCCCATGCAGAAAAGGTGAGGAGGGGATGATTAGTGTCCCTGGGGAAGGGGCAGAGCCCAGGGACCAGAAGGAAGAGAAAAGGGAGAGACTGGGAACCAAGCTGAGACCAGGAATCATGTTGCTGCAGCAGCATAAATTGGGGTGGATCTCAAAAACCAGCCATTAAAAAGCCAGGAGCTGGCTGGTGGACTGCAAAACCACTTAGAGTTTAGAACACAAAATCTCTGGGGCAGGACCTGTCATCTCCTGCAGGCTCACACCATGGAGGCCTGTCCTACTTGGTCTCTGGGCATTACCAGAAGATCTACTTTAAATACTAATTGCTCCACGATCAAGACCTGTGAGCTGCTGGGAGGCTCCCAACAGCATTACCTGTGGGAAGAGGGGATAGATCTCTGACCTCACATCCCCAGGGTAATTTGACCCCGTGCACTAGTGCCACAAGCAAATATTTCTACCCAGTGATGAAGATGAGCAATTCCTGACCAACTTCACATATCCCATCCCCAAGATTTCAGATCCTACTATAATATCAAGCTTTTACTTTGGCTGGAACAAACACAGAAGAATGAGGGTGCCAGGGAAAATGGTAAAAAAACAGGGAATGAAGGGATGCAGAAAGTGATCGGCAGGGAAAAAATAGAGAAGACTCTTTGACATGGAATGTGCACAGTGAACACAACGTGCTGGAAACAAAGGGATGCAGGGAGAGAGGAGAGGCTGGGATGGGCATCTCGGCAGACATGTAGGTAAAAGTTGAAAAGGAAGCACTAATTAGCACCCAGACCATCACTTTCCATTAATAGCTTGTCACCGTTTCCTTGATGTTGCTGAGAGCAGGGAAGTTGGTATGTGTGATGCTTACCTGTCTCTATCTCATTAACAGAAGTGAGGGTGAGAACAGATGTTTATTGCCTGCATTCAGATAGACAGGCCCTTTGCTGAACTGAGAGGCAGGAGAGAGGGGGAAAGTTATGAAAGAGATGCTCGTGAAACACAAGCCAAACCCAAACAATGGAAACCCAAACACAGGACACTTAGGTACCTGTGCCGATCCAGAAACGGCCCCAGGCAGGTATCAGGTTCCAGGAATTCTGGAAACACAAAACTGCTCAGTCAAATAATTATAACCCAGGGCAAATACACTGCCAACTGGGGGAGAGTGCTCTGGTATTGGCACAAGGTATGTGCAAGGGGCTGTGACTGCATTATACCTGGGAAAGTAAAACAAAGGGCTGCTTACTTTCCAGACTGATTTTCTCAAGGTGTCCACTCCACTCAAAAACAGACAGCCAAGCATCTTACTGAGAGCCAGAATGGAGATACACACCAGTAAACAAAGGAAAAAAAGAAAACAAAAAAGTGCTATTTTAGGCAAAGATAAATGTGCTTTGCATATAATCACCTTTGGAGTAATTCTTCCAGCAGCTAAAAAAGAGATTATCCTTCCTGTGTAAAACACAAAGGCCTCTCCTTTCCCTCCAACATGTGGAATGGCTCCTGACAGTGACATGGGAAAGAGGGAGTGTGCAAGGCAAAGCAAGACAAGGCAAGGACGCCAATCAGCAAGTACCTGCGAGCTGGTAGCACACGTCTGCTGGTGTGATGACCGGGAGCGTGTGTGTGTGTGCACATTCCTAGGGACACCCTCGCTCCCACCAGCACATCAATTCACTACGCAAGCCAAAGGTTCCTCTAGAGCAGGAGCCCAAACCTCCTTAGGAGGGAACAAGGGAAAACCAAAGGCAAAGAAAACATCAAGGCAGGGACTGAAGGAACAAAAGCTTTCCCCCTCTCAGCTTAGAGACATCTTCTTGGCCATTTACCTCAGATCAAGTGTAGGCTCTGTTGACTCCCCCACCTATTCAAACGAACTCTTTCAATAGTCTGATAGGTCTTTTCTGCTCTACAGCTTCTCTACCCCTGTGTTTGACGTCCCCAGCCAATGCAGTTAATGCCACATGCAGAAATACTGCCCTGAAGAGCCCTCGCTTAGATTGTGTGGTCAAGCACTTCAAAGTTAGGAAGTGTCCAATTTATGGCTGTCCATGCAACCTTAATTCCACCTCGCTGTGCAGTCACTCTGGACAGGAAAAGAGGGAGTGAGCTAAAAATAGGCTGCGACCGTGTCGTCAGCATCGTAAGGGCATGGGCAGGGAGAGGCTGAATTAACGTCTCATGGTCAAAATGAAATCAGGTACCCCCTGACTTGCCAGCGCTTGCTTTGGTGCCTTCAACCATGTACATTTTTAATATACAGAAATCACGTGCATTCTAAACATACAGAAAAATGCATTATTTATAGCTAATAAATAATAGATTGTTTATATAAGCAAAAAGAAAAACAATTGTAGGCAAGTGTAACAAATTCCCCTTCTTCCACCCCGCACCCATCTTTGCTTCATCCTGTGCGGGCAGAGAGATTTCAAGCCCCAAGCCTCGGCACAGATTTCTGCCACTATGAAATACAGGACTAATGTTATCTGGCAGCGGCAGAAGGCTGCTCTCCTGGGGCCGGCAGAGAAGGGGACTGCTGGGCTGGCAGTGCCCAGGCCAGTGCACCCACATACCCTTCACTTTTCCCTCCTGGCACCAGAACACGCAGGAGTTTTCTCCCAGGAGAAGGGTCTGTGCTGGAAGGATATGACCTAAAGGTGGAAAGGGGTGATGGAGCTGGCTGTGAACACCCTCCCACCTTCCCTGGCTGGTCCAGAGCTCTGCAATAAACTGGTGGGAGTCCACGGTTTCACCCTGCTCCTAATCTGTTATTATTATTCCAGGGAAACAATAAATTTTAATTTTTTTCCCCCCCAAGAGGCAAGCGAAGGGAAATAGTGATTCTGAACAATTCATAATTCAGCTAAACCTGAAAGGAATTTAAGGGACAAAGAACAGGCATTTCTCGACTCGAAGAGCTTCCCCCAGACGAATTTCAAGGGCCCACAGCAAACAATGGGAGTGTCAGAGGTTCTCAAAAAGAAAAAAAAAGTTCAAGAATCTTTACAATAAAAAGTGTTAGGCAACACAGAGGTCAGAGCCAGCTCCTCCTATAATAAATAGCACAACTACCCTACATTAACTATAGGAGACATTTTAATGCAGTGCCTCAGCTTTGTGCTAATTATACTTTTTCACCATATTTTGAACCTAAGAAAAAATGTCATCAGTTAATTATAACAGATGAGAGAGTGTGAAGACTTCCTCAATAAATAATGCCTTGATATCTCATATCCAACAAGCTGTGTGCTCTGCTCTGAAGGTGCCCAGAAATATGTCCTCTCAGGAAATATATCAAGAACTGATGGTCCCATAAGCTGGCTTTGTTTCCAAGCCTTGATTTTCAGCCCAATAATTAAGTGATTTTTATGGATTGGGGAGAGTAAAGGTCGTGGGACTGCTGGAATGGTGCCAGAGAGAGCCAATGTTTAAAAATAAATAAATTCCTAAATCAAAATGAGATACAAGAGACCTCAACAAATTCCCCCCACGGCTGCACAGGTGAGCACACAGATGCAATTTGATTTCTGGACCCATGTCCCATCCTTCCTGCGTTCGTGGCATCTCCATGGGAGTCTGGCAAGCACTAAAAAAGCCCGTTTTAATGAGACCAGGCCACGGCTGCCAGCATGCCACCAGGAGCCAGCCACTGCTGTCCACCTACCCCGAGGAGGAGGAAGGGCACCGTGCCCCTGCTGTTGTGCCACCCTGGGCACTGCCCCCGGCTGCACCCATCCCTGCTGAGGCTGCTGGGCATCCGGGTCCTTATGAGGTTCTTCAACTAAGCCATCTTTCTTTCAGCTCCCTTCTCCACCTAGCACCCCTCACTTCCCCCTCTGAAGAGCCGGGATTTGGCGTGGGAAAGATGTCTTTGGGCTTTTCACAAATCCAGTATCCCCTTGAACCAAAACCAATTAGCCTGGCCCAAGGTCCTGCCATTGAAGGACTGTCCCTTCTTTTCAAACCCCCGCGGGCTCAATTGCTCTAAGGAGCCTGGATGTGAATGAGCAAAGCCCGCTTAAAGTGGTACTTAAGGCCAGACCAGGGTGAAGGAAAAGAGAAAGCCTCTATAGGAACAGCAAGCTGAGTTTCCAAGAGACAGCTAACTGCCGGAGATTGTGTTCTTTTGCTCCCCCCATTTTCTTTTTTCTACCCCCACTCCTCAGCTTTCGAGGCAAACGCTCCTAACCAAACCTGAGCCCCTGAATAAATATTAGAAAACACGAAAGCCAGAACTTCGTACTGACTCTTTGCGGATGCCGGGAGCCCTTCTGTGGCAAGTGTGATGACCCAGCCTCGTATGCAAGCTCTGGTCGCAAACACGTGCACTCAGAGGGACAGAGGGATGGTGAGAAGCTCAAGATGATGTTTTTCCAGTTCAGGAAAAACTGGCAAACAGCTTTCCGAGGTGGCCAGGCCTCTGGGCATGAAACACCAAAATCCCCGACCTGGACAGAGAGACTCCCTGTACCATGTGTTGGGGAAGCCAGCACAGGCAGCCAAATGCCCATCTTATGCTGATGGCCCCTGGTGACACCCAGAGACTAAGGGCGATCGAGGGCTGCGATGTGGCAGCAGCAGTGCCAGGGGGACACGCGGTACCCACACCATGAACGGTGTGTGTGCAGCACCATGTGCCAGGCGCCTCAGTGCTGGTGCCAAATCAGCACCTTCCCTCCACCCAGACACACGAGTGTGTCCAGCAGGCAGCCGTGATCCCTCCTGCTGGACATGCAGCACCCATCCATGGCCACAGGTTGGATGGACCCTCCAAGCTCCTCGGCTCCAGCGGCACAGACGAAGCCTGGACAGAGCAGCAGGTAAAGGGAGGCTCTGCCCATTTGCACCAAGGGTGCAAGGAGGGCATGGAAGCCAAGAAAGACAAAAGAAATGGCTGAGCCCAGCCTCAAGAGTGGAACTTGCCATTGCCAGGCAGTTCTACAAAAATGCCCATTGATGGGATTTCATCCATAACCAAGCGTGCACGCTCACACAGCCTGGCTTCCAGGGAAGCTTCTTCAGAGAGCAGGGCCTGAACAGCCCCTTCACCTGACCCCAAGCCCTGGTGAGTTTGGCTTCCCCAGGTATTTGGTATAAACCCCCTTCATCTGATGCACCAAACCAAACCCACTGCATGACAGACACGTTTTAGGAAAAGGTGGGAAATCCTGGGCTGGAGCATGCAATCTCCCGGAGCACCATTTCCTTGGGGTGAAACCCACAAACTGCATTTTGCATTCATCCCCCAATGGCACATGCTGATTCTTCTGTTTCTGTCTCACTCTGCCCATCCCCAGCTCTGCCTGAAGAACAAAGACATCACAACCCAGCTCCAGGTACCTCACCCATGTTTGGCCTACGCTGCATCCTATTGCTCCATCAGGAGAGTCCCACTGAGAAGAGAAAGAATCAGGAATGCCAGGACATGGACTCTCATCTCAGCACTCCCGAAAAAGATGCCTTCCCTTCTGGGTTTTGCCTACGCAGGGGCAAAGACCCATCCAAACCAACAGCTACCCTAACAGGGCAAAAAGCAAAGCTAACAAAGGGAACTGTGTCCAGCCAAAATCCATCCCTGGCCCAAGGACAGATCCTTGGGGACCTCCCTTCCAATATGGCACTTAAAAAAAACCAAAAAAAGACAGAAAGCAGAGACCTGTCGGTGGGCTGCCAGGGATTCTCTAGATGTAGCAGGTATGCCACAAGCAGAGATTTGCTGGGGGGCTTCATCCACTGCCTTGCCCCCGACCCACACACGTATGATCTGGAGATTCTCACCCCACTGTCCTCCATCACTCACTGCCACCTCCCTTGTTAATTGAGAGGGTGCTGCCTTCACACCTCCTCGAGACACCCATAGGTTCATGCCAACAATGGGGGCAAGAAGGAAGCACTAAAGCAGCAGAAAAAATTCAACCGCAGTTTCTCTCTCGTGGACATTAAAGGCCAAATCGCTCAGTCCCTGTCTCAGTCCCCTTCGGGGGGAACTGCTCTGGGGTAAGTGCACCAAGTACATGGCCTGAAAAAAATACCTCAAAAATCAGCTCAGGAGAGGTGATTTTGTGAAGGAAAAAAAATAGTAGAAGTCAAGAGTGGTTTCTGACCAGCTGATTGAATAGCAAGGTGAAAAAGCTTGCATCAATCCTTTGTAAGAGTTCTCATGTAGACACGGATTTCCACACTTCCATTTTATTTCATAAAATTATATATATATATATGTATTTATATATACACACACAAGGACATTTATTATATGTGTGTATATTTTTTTTCCTCAGATCCTCTTTTTATATTTTCACCTTTTGCAATTACAAAAGCCAGGGACAGAAATACCTCCTGGGTTCTGCCAGTGCAGAACACTCCCACCAAACAGATTTTCTCTAACATGCTGGTTGAATGATTCCTCCTGAATTACATTCATTAGGAATTTGAATGTTTCTTTCCTCCATCCCCCATCAAATCATTACTCCGGAATAAATGCATTCATCAACCACCTTGCTCAGTTCCCTCCTGCTTTGTTCAGTCTAGTTTTAAAGCATCTCCACTGAAACCGTTTGCACCTGACTCGATGCTGGCGCACGAAAAGGGGAAAAAATAAATAGGAGAAGAATTGAGCGCCACTCACAATATTGTGAAAATAATTGGAAAATTATTTCTTAAAAATAGCCAACATAATAAAGGAGGGAAAGGACTACATTCCTTCCTCCCCACCTCCGATCTCTTCCACAATTTCTGGGATTGCATCAAGTATACATATTCCAGATGGGCTGGAGAGAAGGAGGTTGGTTCTTAATGACACGTCTTTCGCTGCCTTTGGAATGAATGATTCATTCGGATCTTGCCGAGACTCGGTGCCACAGTTGAGTTACATTTCTAGAAAATCCGTATCTTTAATTCTGGCGCTGCGTGTGGGACCCAGCAAATCATGGAATTACTGCTGTAACTTCGGATTAGTAACGCTTTCTAAATGATAGTCTAATTCCAGGCCTTCATGCTTTTCAGCGTTCACACTCACACAGCCTTTTCCCTGGGAGGCTTCCTGCGGAATTAGTGCTGGCGTCTTCGTCTTTCTCTGCCCTTTTTAATTTCTCCAATGACTTCTCATTAGAATATATAATAACAGCTTCTCAGAACTTTTCTTTCTCCCGGTATAGCCAAATTCAGGCTGAGATCCTTTCTCCTTACTGTGGTTATGGCGGTGCTTTGCTGGCCCTGGAAGGGTGCACAGGCAGATTTAGCTTTGCGGGCCTACGTGGCACCGGACGCCATTACCCCGTGCAAGGGAAGGTGGAAAACCTGCCTGCGAGGTGCGGGGGGCTCCCACCTCCGGCCGGCCCCGCTGGGCACGGGCGGCTCGGCCCTGCGGCGCTCCCCTCTCCCTCGGCGAGGGATGCCCAGAGCGGAGGATGGGGCAGGGTACCCGCGCTCCACCTCGCCGAGCAGCGGGAACGCGGCAGCGCCTTTCCCAGCCCTCCCCATCTCCCGCAGCATCTCCCGGGGGGCAGAGGGCCAGCTCAGAGCCCCCTCGCAACCCCTGCCGCAGGAAGGTTCCTCTCGCAGCCTTCCCGGAGCTGTCACGACCCGTGTGGGTTGGCGGCAGCGCGGGGATCATCCCTGCGGGATGCGGGCGGACAACGCCGGGAGAGGGGCTGGTGGCGATGCTCCCAGCCCGCCCCAGGGTGCCGGGGGGCCCGGGAGAGCCCGGTCCCGGCCAGGGGCGCTCGCCCCACGCCAGCTGGGAAAACGTGCCGGGGAGGCTCGGCGAAGAGCACGGTGCTTTGTGTCGCCATGGGAACGGAATGCAGATATGCCAATTGCTTTTCTTTTCTTTTCTTTCTTTCTTTTTCCACCTTTTTTTTTTTTTTTTTTTTTTTTTTTTTTTTTTTGTTTTTTTTTTTTTTTTTTTTTTTTTTTTTTTTTTTTTGCCAGACATTGTAATACATATTATGTTTCAACTTCTGGGGCTTGCAGCGGAGGTGAGGGAGGCTTTGTGCCTTGCCAAGAGCTCGGCTCCCAAAGAAGCCTCAGGGCCGGGCGGCTGCATGCTGGAGGGGTGCACCCAGCAGCGGGACCCCTTCCCTAGGCATCCCCCCGCAGCTACGAACAAAAGCAACAGCCACCACGCAAGAAAAGTGATCACATTCTCACCAACTTGACCTTCCAAAGGGAGGCCAGGATCAAATCCAAAGCCGAAAAAATAGAGCAGAAGAGAGAGAGAGAGAGAGAAGGAAAGATATGGAAAAGCTGGGGAGTTTTCGTGGTGTGACCCGTAGGCTGGGACGCGGGGGAAGGTTTATTTGGGGAGGGTGCTCGCTCTCTCCATCCTCCCAGAGCCGCTACACCCCCTAGCCTAGGAGTGAATTTCGGCGTGCGTTTAACCGATAGTTAAACCTCGGATTTATTTGGCAAAGGAAGAATTGGCGCAGGGCTCGCCTCCCTGTCCCCGTCCCTCCCGCCTGCTGCCGCGGAGCCCCGGGCTGCCCGGAGCGGCCCGACGGGGAGGTCGCGGACCCGCAGCCCTTACCTGGAGCCCCCAGGGCGGCGAGTCGGGCCGTCTCTGCACTGCCGGTCCTGGTGCGGCCGCTTCCCCTGGGCGAGCAGGTCTGGAAGTCATTTCTACTTTCGGTTATCTAGCTTTATGATGGCTCCACAACACTCATACAGCTAGATAACCAAAGACAGAAACATCCCTCCGTCGGGGATGCCGGCCATCCGTCCGTCCGTCCGTCCGCTCCAAGGTGCGGGCACGGCCGGGGCAGGGCGGCCAGGAGCTGCCACCGGGAACCACACACACATA